GCTTACCGCCAACTCGCAATTCACCCAGTTCTCTATAGGTTCTGTCCACAAGTCAACAAGTTGTATCAACAGACCCCTCAACAAATCGCGCGCTCGCAAGTCCCTCAACAATGTGCGCTGACAAGGCTTTTCCAAACGCACTCTTGGCAAGGTCTCTCGACAACCGTTGCGATTGCCGCGTAATGTAGTCAAACAGGCCTGCCCAGACAGCAAACTATCCGTCAACTGTGCCCTGCGAACCTGAGATTTCGGGCTGACCGGGTGGCAACAGGTTCTCTCAACTGTATAGTTTCTAAACCAGTTCGGTATATGGGTCCCCGGCGCAGCACGGCCCGCCGAGGCAGCGTCGCTGCGACGCAGCATGCCCACGTCCAGCGGGCGCAAGTGGGCCGGTGTGTGTGTGTGTGTGTGTGTGTGTGTGTGTGTCTGTGTTTGTGCTTGTTTGTGTGTCTGTGTGTGTGTCTCTGTGTGTGTCTCTGTGTGTGTCTCTGTGTGTCTCTGTGTGTCTGATGTGGCTCCGTTTGCGTGTGTCTGTCCATGCGTGTGCTTGTGGGTCTCGGCGCGTGTCTGTTTGTGTCAGTGGTGTGTGTGTGTGTGTGCGTGTGTCAGTGGTGTGTATGTGTGTGTGTGTGTTGTGTGTGTGTGTGTTGTGTGTTGTGTGTGTTGTGTGTGTTGTGTGTGTGTGCGTTTTGTGTGTTTTGTGTGTTTTGTGTGTTGTGTGTGTGTGTGTGTGTGTTTTGTGCGTGTGCGTGTGCGTGTGCGTGTGCGTGTGTGTGTGTGTGGTGTGTGTGGTGTGTGTGTGTGGTGTGTGTGTGTGTGTGTGTGTGTGTGTGTGTGTGTGTTTTGTGTGTTTTTGTGTGTTTTGTGTGTTTTTGTGTTTTTGTGTTTTTGTGTGTGTTTTTGCGTGCGTTTTTGTGTGTTTTTTGTGTGTTTGTGTGTGTCTGTGTCTGTGTCTGTGTCTGTGTGTGTTTTTGTGAGTCTGTGTCTGTGTCTGTGTCTGTGTCTGTGTGCGTGTGTTTGTGTGTGTCTGTGCTTGTCTGTGTTGTTGCGTCTCTGCGCATGTCTCTTTGCGTCTCTGTGTGGGTCTCTTTGTGCGAGTTTTGGTGTGTGTGTGTGCTCTCCGTGTGTCTGCGCGAGAGAATATGTTTGTGTCTGCGTAGCTGTGTGGCTGTGTGGCCGTGTGGCTTTGTATCTGCGGCGGCGTCTCCGTGTGTGTTCGGGTGTGTGTGTGTGTGTGTGTGTCTATCTCGCTCTGCCCGTGTCCCCGCGCGCGTTTCCTTTGTGTGTCTCGATGTTTGCGTGTGTCTCTGTGTGTCTCTGCGCTTGCGCGTCTGTGTCTCTATTTCTCTGTGCGTGTGTTTGTGTTTGTGTGTGTCTGCACGAACGTGTTTATTTCTGTTTGTGTGTCTTTGCACACATGTCTCCGTGTGTGTGTGTTTGTGCGCGCGCTGTGCCTCGTCAGGCCTCTCTGCGATTGTCTGAGTGTGCCGTGCTTGTGTGCGCTGAGAGACAGAGATGTCAAAGTATATGCGAGGTTGTGCTACATAGCTTGTACATGGCAGCAGGCCTTGAGCTTACTACATTGAGAGCCCATGCAAACAGGAGTTGGCTACAAGTTTGCTCGTGTTAGCAACATTACAGCACTTGCACTTGTAGTAAACAGCAGTCAGAATTTAACGCGGTAGCGGAGCTGAGATCCTACACATAGGGGAGCTCCAGAATTCAGCAGTAAGTACAACAACAACGGCAACAACAACCGCACGCCAAACTACTACGACATGTCAGGAGAAGCACCATAGGCAACACAGCACTACCATTTCAATGGAAAGGCGCAACAAGGTTCACCATAAAGAAGGACTACGAGTACATCCAGGAGAACTACGGCAAGGAACAACAACACGAACACCATGCAGCACACAGAGCAAGAGGACTACGACAACCGCAGCAACCAACTCCACAACAAATAGCAGAGCACAACTTGACACACCTACCATACAGAAATTGGTGTCCAATTTGCGTGCAAGACAAGGGACGCCAAGACAACTACAAGAAACAACAATCACGACAACCCATCATTCACGTAGACTTTGCCTACATCAAATCACAGCAAGACCCAAAGGCCATACCAGTCTGAACAGCAGTTGGTGTTATTACACAACTGTGTATGGCGGTAATAATTCCGGAAAAACCAATGATGGACTACGTGTCAACAACCTACAAGCATTCATCTTTGAGCGCGGAAGAACACAAGGCATACTACAAAGCGACAACGAGGACACCCTCAACGCGCTTCTAAAAGCTACAGCAGCCAAAGTTGGCTCAATGGCTGTTCGACATGCAGCAGCAACAGTCAAGGACAGTTGAGCGACTACATCGAACACTCCTTGAAAGCACAAGCCGAACAACTACAGCGCGACAGTGTCCACAAAGCACTGTCTACTACCTTGGATAGTACGACATGCAGCATAGACGGTAAATCGTTACGTCATCCACTCCGACGGCTACACAAGCTTCGAACGCCGCTGGGGGAGAAACTACGAGCGAGCAATTTGCGAATTTGGCGAAACACTACTTTACCTTCCACCGCAACAAGACACTTCCAAAAGCAGACCTACGAATGCAGAAACGCATTTGGCTCGGAAAGGTTTCTGAAGCCGGAGACAACTATGTCGCAACAGAAACAGGCGTACAGGAAGTACGAACAGTACGGAGACTACAGATGGACTTCAAATACGACCTCGCGTTACTCAACAAAGTTACCGGCATATGTTGGGCGCCACGACGGAACAACTACAACCCGTCATTCTTGGATGAGCAGCCTACTTGCAATGTAATTGGCGAACTTAAGCGACTTTCTAAGCCACATGCAAGTTGCCTAACTTGAGTTAGTAAGTCCGCCAAGTCTGACTTCGCGGACTTACAACCTGGCCAAGTCCACTTGGCGAGTTAGAGGACTTAGCTAAGCAGATGCTGAGCAGTTCCAAGTAGTTAGCGAAGTCCTTTTTTACTCGCCAAGTGGACTTAGCCAGGTTGTAAGTCTGATAAGTCAGACTTAGCGGACTTACTAGCTCAAGTTACTTGCAAGTGGCTTAATAAACCGCTTAAGTTCGCTGATCACATAGCAAGTAGGCCGCCCGTCCAACGTCCAAGTTCGCAACACTGTTGGACACGCAACTCCAGTCGTCAGAAAAGAGACAAGCTACACAAGACGTCGGACAACAGGCGAACGTGATGGACGACATCGTCGCGGAACCTGCAACGAAACAACAACGCGCTACGTCACCTCTACGACTTCCGTCGACCTCGGCGTCAAGTTCACGAGCACCACCTCGACAAACACTACGACGCGTGACTCCGGAAGAAGTAATGCAACCAACCAAAGCACACAAGGCTTGAAACGACACTGCAATCAGATCAACGGAAGAAGCAAGCAACGTATTAAGCACTACGACAAAGAGTTAACGCAGTGACACTTTCCAACGGAACATCCACCACTTCCTACACAAACGACGACACCTCAGAAGAACAACCCATCATCTTCGACAACGAAGGTTACGACGAAGCACAACTACTGGAAGGAATGGAGCACGAATCAAACCAAATGAAACTACATGACGCCTACGACGAAGTAGATGCGTCTACAGAAAGGACCAGGCGTACGAAGTAGGATCGTCGCAGAAGGCTACACCGAGAAGATCGAGGACGAAGACTCAGTCTACGCCTCTACACCAATGCTCACGACGCTACGCACACTTCTCGCGCTACAGGTGTCACGGCCAAAGTGGATCGCGCGACAAGGCGAGGTCTCTACGGCATTTCTACACGCGCCCATCGCAAAAGACCACGACGGCAAACAAAGCTACGTCTACCTTTGGCCACCTAAAGAACTTGCCCGCTCCAGAACAAACTATGGCGGCTAAAGAAAGCCATGTGTGGACTACGCAGCTCGCCTAAAGCATGGCAGGACAACCTGGCTGAAGTACTACAAAAGCTCAGCCTTGCCTAAAGTCAGAACCCAAAGCCTACACCGACGCAACTCGTAACTGCTACATCATGGTCTAGACCTGTTGGTACTACTGTAGACTCCATCTTCGAGGCCATCCAGAAGCAGGCGCTACTCAAGCGCATTGGCTACCTCGAGCCTGGCGAAGAAACATCGAGCACTTTCGCAACAACTGCACTCTTGGACTTCAGGACTCCTACATCAACCACATGATTGAGCTGCAACATGGTGACCACTCCAGGAATCGCCCACTACAAACCAACAATAGAGGACGAAGCACTACTCGGCCACAAACAGCACAAAAGGTACAGAAGGACTGTTGGTAAACTTCAATGATTAGCATACACAAGACCAGACATTGCCTACGCAACAAAAGAACTGGCACGAGACCTCACAGCACCTACAGAACTTGCACAAAAGAGAGTCAAGCACCGCGCGGCACCAAACACTACAAATTCACCATAGAACCAAACAACAACACTTAGAGCAAACATGAACAACATCCTGGATCTCGACGTTAATGTCGATGCTGACTGGGCAGGATGGCCTACTACCAGGAAACCAACTTCAGGTGTCAACATCATCTTTCTTGGAACAACAGTTGCATGTGGCAGCAGAACACTCACCAATGCTGAGCCAATCCTGAAGGTCGTTGCAAACAAGCAACCAAGCTCGCCAACCGACAAACCAATTGCTGTAACAAACAAACCGACCAGCCAACAAACCCACCCGATAACCAAGCATCACGCCAAAGCTGTCGGACTAGCAAGGAAAAGCCACAACGAACGCCGCTCCATCATTTGACCGGGCTGATCTGCCGGCGACACATCTGCAGCAACACTATGAACCAGGTTGGTTATCCAAACCTGATGTCTGGGCAAGCATATGCCATGCAGAAAGGGCCGCATCCTCCGCAGTCTCTTGGAACACCTGCAGAAAAAGCCCTGATGATCAGTTGCAAAAACTATTGGCAAAAAGGCATCGGAACTTTGTCTGCCCTCTGGCACCGCATAAAAAAAGCAAGCTAATTGTATTCTCACCAGACACTACACGCTCCCAAGAGAATGACATTGCTCACAAGCTTCGCACTGCATCAAGTCCGTACTTCTCCCGGCCTTATAAAGTCAGAGTACCAGGAAGCAGGCAGCAGCGCATTTTTGCAACGGGCAGAAAACTCTGTCAAGGATCCGTGCTGTCACAGGGTCAGGATGAGCCAGACTGATGTCTCCTGGCAGGTGCCTCGAAATGGACCATGATCACATTGAAGCAGCAGCCCCTAGCAGGCGAAGTTCGATACAGCATACAACAGGAAGCGAACAACTGTGGCCGGCACTGTGTAAACTTCACATTTTCCTCCTGTTTGTTCTACGTTCATTCGACTTCCTGGTTGTCAAGAGCAAACAGGTCGCGCAAAATTCCATCAACCTCGGACCAGACAGACCTTGATAATTCTTGAGGGTTTTAGCCAGTAGCCTTTGTGGCACCTGATCCTTCGCTGCGCTACTCCCAGCCTATTCGAAGACCAGCAGTCCCAACGCAATCCGCTGATGACGCACCAGCCGGAAAGCTGGAGCGACCAGTTCCTGCAGGGTGCTGCCAATTCGTGCAAGCCTGCCGTGTCACACGGCCTGGACCCTTTCGCTGCGCCTGTTCAAAGTTCTTTCCAGCGCTAGAAGTTTGCGACAGCACTAAAACCAGTGCTGAAATCGTCTCACAAAGATTCAGTCACAGCCGTACTTACTATTGTCGCGTCAAGCGGCAGTCTTCAAAAAGACTGCGGCCCCAAACCCAGAATGCGCTACATCTCATAGGCCTACTACTTATATCGCGAATTGCGCAACAGAAACTCCTCTTGGAAGCGCTTTAGGGGCATTTGGGGACTGAGCGTGGCTTTCCACGGAACAGCAGTTCCAAGCGTTGCGACTTTAAGCGGGTGGTAGCCACATGCAAACATGTTTCTTGTTTTTCCGATTCTCCTTGGCCCAGCATGCGCTGGACTTGCGCCGGTCCATGTTTGCGCGGCTGATCTTGCAGTGTGTAAGCATGGGTGTATGTATTTATGTATGCATGTATGTATGTGTGTATGAATGTATGTAGGCATGTGTGTGGTGTTGTCTGTGTAGGCTTATGTTGATGTGTGTATAGTTGTGTATGTGTGTGTGTACCAGCATGTGTGTGTAAGTGCGTGTGGGTGTGCGTGTGAATGAACTTGTGTGTGTGTGCGCATGACTATGTGCGTGCATATGCCAATGCATGTATGTATGTGCGTGTGTGCGCACGCATGTGTATGTACGGGTATATGTATGTATCTACGTGTGTACGTGTGTATGCATGTAAGTGTGTGTGTGTGTACGTACGTGTGTGTGTGTGCGTGTATGTCTGTATACATATGTGCATGTGTGTCAGGGTACTTAAGTATGTAGGTGATGTTGCGCGAATGCATATGTGTAGGTATATGTGGGCTTGTGTTGTTTTACGGCGACAGGGCAGGGAAGGTTTGAGTGTAGCGGTAGTAGTAGAAGCTCTAGAACTTCAAAACCAGTCACTGTGTTCTCCTCCGAGTAGAGACTGAGACAGGCCCGCCGCCAGCCACAACGCACAGTGTTTTTGAGGCTGAAGTTGTGTGGCCTTGGATTGAAAAAAAATGCATCGAGCCACGGAGTGTGGTGTTCGCATGTGCATGAGCACTGCTAGGCTTTGCTAGTCGTAGTAGTGGAGGAGTAGCAGTAGTAGTGAGTCGGAGTACGGTACGGGAGTGGTAGTAGCAATAGCAGTAGAAGCAGCCGCTGCACGAGTAGTAGTATGGGAGTAGTAGTAGCAGTAGCAACACTAGTGGTGGTAGTAGTAGTAGTGGTAGTAGTTGTAGCAGAAGCAGCTGCGGCTGTGGTGGTGCGGAGGCTTTGTGAAAGACTTGGCACTAGCCTCGGCAAGGGAAGCTCATTGTCCGGGCAATATTTGGGTATGATTCCCGGGGAGTATTTGTTGCAAAAAGTAACTGCCTACAAACTCAGAAAATGGTGTAGTAGTACTGGTGGTAGTTGTAGTAGCAGTAGTCGCGGCAGTAGTCACAAAAGTAGTAGCAGGAGTAGTGATAGTAGTAGTAGTAGTAGTAGTAGTAGTAGTCCTAGTAGTAGTAGTGGTGGCGGTAGTAGCCGTGGGAGTAGTAGCAGCAGTATCAGCAGATTAGTAGTAGGTAGCGCTGGCGGCGGTTGTGGTGGAGACAGTTAGAAAAGTAGCATCTTGCAGCATTCGCATTGACGGGGTATGAATCCGGGGCATGGTGCGGGGGTGTGTCCCACCTTCTGCCTTTTGAAGCAACTCAGCACAACAAAGAACGGCAGACCCATGCACATGCAATTGTATATGTATGTGTGTATGTATATGTTCATGCACATGTGCATGTAAGTATAGTTCTGCATGTGTGCGTATGTGTGTGCGTATGTATATGTACGCGTGTGCCTGTGTATGTGTGTAAATGCATGTGTGCGTCTGTACGTGTAAATAGGCAGGCCTGTCTCCATATGTGCGCGCGTAGGTATGCATCACTAAAAAGAAGTCAGGTGCTCAATCAGCAGGGTTTAGATCAGTATGGTTTCGCAAAAAACCAGGTACCTCTTAATTTCTCAGCACTACGGCACAATCGTTTGTTTTTAACAGGGTTGAGAAAAAGGTATATGTTTCGAGAAACAACGATGTGATTTTGAGAAACCCATCCTGATAAACACCTAGTTTAAGAGACCTGAATTTTCAAATGTTACTCAAGGCCTTGCTTGACTAATTTGTCATATGTCATTTGGTCACGTGTCAAATGATATTGACCTTGGCACAGGGCAATCACAGTCAGCGCAGCTTCAAATTCTACTGCAAGGCATGCAGTGTCATGTCATTAAACACATGTTCCTATCTTAGTGCGCGGCTACAGGTGAAGGAGGGAGGAACCTGTCATGCATTGAACTGGCAAACCCACCATGGCCACTTATCAGTCAGTCAGGACAAGTTACAGTGACAGTGGCCAAGCGGTTATCAGTTCAAATTCAACTTGTCAGGCAGCATCAGTCAGTTGAAGCGCTGTTCACACCCTTCTCAAAACATTGGAAAATTAAGTGGCAGTGTTTAACTTAATTTGTTTGGTTGTCTCAAACGGCTCACACTCACAAGCAGCGCAACGCTCGTAGACAGACAGGTCACAATTGTTTTATCCGCCAATCAACCCCTGGCTCACGCCGAGTGAAGTTATGAATTGAGCCATTTGGCGTGTTCCTCAGCCACGGCTGAGCCAAAGCTAGGAGGATCATGCTCGGAATCAAGCAGCGCATGTTTCACACCGGTAAACGAATGGACTTGCGCTGTGCAACTGCAAAGGTTTCATAGTTGATGCCAAAGTGGCATTCAGAAGGTTGCAAAAGGACATGTGTTCTGGTAAGCAAGAGCTCCTGGCTGCTCTAATATGCTGAAGTAGCCAAGGATTGCTGCCAGGAAGTACAGCAAACTTGATATCCAAGCCAGTGAGTTGCCTTCGGCCACAAGTCTCTTTGATGCGCCTCCATTGTAGTCTGGCGGCGTTCTCTTTGAAACTGAGACCCCCGGTGTCACCCAAGAACTGCAGACTGTGCCAAGCCATACTAAGCTCTTTGGTTTCAAGTTGAGCAGTGCTACCAACCATAGGCGTAAGCCTGTTCCCGTCAAGCAGTCATGGGCGGCAGCGTGCAACCCGGCGAGTCAGAGCCATCCACAGGTTGCCAAGGCCTGAGAAATATTCAATGCGCTGCGCCCAAGGCCTTTTGCAAGAGCAATGCGAATAGAGCAGGTATTCCATCTGATTGAAAATAGGCAAGCCTTTCAGGTCAGGAAATGCCACAGAGATGGCAATGGACCACATGAAGGCAGCCTTCCCGTTGCGCTGCGCGCCAAAGGATAAAAAGTCCTCCACCTTGGACAACATTGTTGCCAGCGCTGCAGAAGCCACGATGCACTTGGCATTGATTCATTGACAACCACAGTGGGAAAAGCTGACCTATCATAAAACTCAATAGTTTCAGTGTCTGATCAGTGGCAAGCTTAGCCCAGGCAGCCCAAGTGGTTAGCCGACCAACCAGAAACACAAGAAAAATCATGTCAGTGACAAATTGAGAGATCGATCGCCATCGCTACACATCACAGAATGCAGGCCTGGAAATCGGCAGGCAAGTAGCAAAGTCAGCAAGTCCATAGTGCGAAGACACCTTTAGTTAAGTTCCATTGGATTTAGATGACAAGAGTGACACACGACACATGAGTTTGAACCATTCACTGACTTTGTTGTCACATGTCTCATGGTCACACAAGCAAGCCGAAGCCGCAGAGAATCGTTTTGACTTGACATTGACATGAAGTTGCATTTGCCCTCTCAAAGCGGCCTCGGGGAAATCACCTTCTAAGAGAGCTGCGCGACCGCTGCCCATTGCAACTTCCAAGCGACCAAGTTCCTGGTGCTGTTCCTGCTGATGATCAGCTGCGACCAATCCTTGAACCAATCCCGCCGGTCAAGGGCTACCTAATCCCACTTCTGCCAAATCCCACTTCTGCCACGCGTTCGTGTCAAAGCCTCTTCCCAGGGCTGCGAAGTAAAACTCTTGGTGCACGATTTCTTCTCGAAAGGTTCGACAAATCGGGGATCAGATATGAGCGTTTCTACTTTGAATCTCCAGTCGAAAGTCTGTTCGCAAAATTGTTTGCTGGGGCTGATGCGGGCCAGGATGTCCTTGGGGCATCGTGCCACAGGGCCCTGAGCGGGGCCTTCCACTCTGACAGGCTCTGCCGCCGCAGGCTGCGCTGCTGAAACTAGAGCTTCAAGTTCAGGGGCCGCTGCCTCAGGAGCCGCAACTGCAGGCTCGGCAAGCTCACGAGCAGCAAGCATGAGCTCTCGGCAAGCTCCATCATGAGCAATCGCCACATCTGAAGATCATCATTGGCAATGGCAACCATGTCACTGTCAGCCAAGGCAGAATCCTCACAAGTAATGGGGGCCACAGATGAGAAAGGTTCCTGTTTTTGCACAAGCTCCTCGAGGTTTTTTTGGGGTGCCTAACACTGGACAACATCTCAGCACTGCCAACATCATCCCGGATGATGCGGATGATGCTACGCATGCTGGCGATGCGAAACAAGGGGCTGAAAATTGCAGAAAAAGAAGAGGAACTGCAAGGAAACAGGAGTGACTGGAAGTGAACGAAATGGAAGTGAAAGGACTTGCGCGAAAATGAAGAGGGCACTGGAGAGATACCAAAATGCAGGAAAATGCAAGGGCAGAACGTGTTGGAAACTAAGGGAAACGAAGAGAAACTACTAAAGAGAAACGAAGGGATGTGCAGGAAACTGACGTGAAATGGGAAGCGAGGCTGAAGTCACGGGAACTAAAAAGAACTAAGGGAAAGGAATGCGAATGAAGGGGCGTTCAAGCAAATGAAGGGAGCTGACACGGAAATGAGGCGAAAGGAAGCGAAAGGAAATGCCAGGAAACTGTCGGACATGCAGGGAAGACATGCAAGGAAGGTGAAGTTCAAATCCCGGGAACTATCGGGAATTAAAGGAAAAGGAAATGATA